CACCTGGAAGTGGGGGGGATATATTACAATGACACCTGGAAGTGGGGGGGATATATTACAATGACACCTGGAAGTGGGGGGGATATAGTACAATGACACCTGGAAGTGGGGGGGATATAGTACAATGACAACTGGAAGTGGGGGGATATATTACAGTGGCACCTGGAACTGGGGGGGATATATTAGGCAAGACAAGTTGAGGATTTGAGTGACTCTGACAAGGACCAAATTGTGATGTCTAGACGACTGGGTCGGAGCAACTCCAGAACTGCAGCTCTTGTGGGATGTTCTCGGTCTGCAGTGGTCAGGACCGGCCAAAAGTGGTCCAAGGAAAACAAACCAGTGACAGGGTCATGGGCCGCTAAGGCTCGTTGATGGACGTGGGGAGGGAAGTCTGGTCCGTGTAGTATGATCCAATAGAAGAGATACTACAGCTCACATTGCTGATAAAGTGAATGCTTGTTCCTATAAAAAGTTGTCTGAACACGCAGAGCATCGCAGTTTGTTGTGTATGGGGCTGTGCTTCTGCAGACCGGTCAGGGTGCCAATGCTGACCGGTGTCCACCACCGAAAGCACCAACAATGGGCACGTGAGCATCAGAACTGGACCACAGAGCAATGGAAGAAGGTGGCCTGGTCTGATGAATCGCGTTTTCTTTTACATCATATGGATGGCCGGGTGCGTTGGTGTCACTGACCTGGGGAAGAGATGGCACCAGGATGCACTATGGGAAGAAGACAAGCCGGTGGAGGCAGTGTGATGCTTTGGGCAATGTTCTGCTGGGAAACCTCGGGTCCTGCCATTCATGTGGATGTCACTTTGACACGTCCCACCGACCTAAACATTGTCACTGACCAAGTACACCCCTTCATGGACACGGTATTCCCTGATGGCAGTGGTCTCTTTCAGCAGGATAATGCGCCCTGCCACACTGCAAGAATGGTTTGAGGAACACAACAATGAGTTTGAGGTGATGACTTGGCCTCCAAATTCTCCAGATCTCAATCCAAGCGATCATCAGTGGGATGTTCTGAAAAAGCAAGTCCGATCCACGGAGGCCGATCACCTCACAATTTACAGGACTTAAAAGATCTGCTACTGACGGCTTGGTGCCAGATACCACAGCACACCTTCAGAGGTCTAGTGGAGTCCATGCCTGGAGGGGTCAGGACAAGGTGGACCTACTGAATATTAGGGGAAGTCATCCAGATACCACAGCACACCTTCAGAGGTCTAGTGGAGTCCATGCCTGGAGGGGTCAGTAGAAGGGGGACCTACTCAATATTAGGCTGGTGGTCATCATATACCACAGCGTACCTTCAGAGGTCTAGAGGAGCCCATGCCTGGAGGGGTCAGGAGAAGGTGGTGGACCTTCTCAATATTAGGCAGGTGGTCATCATAATGATATGGCTGATCGGTGTATACAATATAGTGTGTGTATCTATCTATCTATTAGCTTGTGAAAGTATTCACCCCTTGGTCCTTTTCCTCTTTTATTGCAGTACAACCTGGAATTAAAATAGATTTGGGGCCTTTTTTTTATCCCAGACAAACACTTTCATTGGTGCCTCTGTGTGCCCGTATGACTGTGGGAGGGACATAAGACTATACGCCGCTGGAATGGTATAAATGCTGAATAACGACATAAATAATCGCTTGCTGTTTTGTGCTATTATGAGCTGCCCTGGGCACTACGTATAAGGAAGTCATCCGCACAGCTGACAGGTCCTCTTATCCAGCAGTCTGTGCCAGGCAGAGATTTCCGGCACCGCTCCATGGTATCGGCCGCTCGGCTCTCCGCAGATCAACAAAATGTTTTTCCAAAATAACCTTCTTCTGAAAAGGCTAAAAATAGACCGAAGCGGAAGGAGCCGATTGTAATTTCAGACCCTTTTTTTTTTTTTTCTCGCTCTGCCAAACAATTGAACGTCTTTCTTTTTTTCTTTCTTCCAGACGAGTAGAAGGTGAACTTGAAGTTATCTGGGAGTCGGCGTCCAATGAAAACCGACAACTGAAGGGACTCTTACACGACACTCTGAAGCAGACCAAGCACATCGCCAGCCACTCGTCACCGGGCTTCCAGCACCACTCCGCCGTTGGCTTCAGTTACTGCGAAGTGAATTCCTTCTCTCACCAGGACGAGCCGGCCAGCTAGACCCGAAGGCGAGCCTCTTATCTCCGCCGTAAACCGAGTCCTAGTGATAAATCTCAGGTTACTTTTCTCATTTCCCTGAGTGGTGTGTGCCAAGGCCAGAACTCTGATCTTCCCTGTGTGTGGACTTGGCGTTTATTATGGAGCAGTTGAGCTGCGAGTCAATCAAAAATGGCCACCGGCGGCTAAACGGTCTTTGATTGGCTGTTAAGTTGTGATCTCATTTTACTAGTTGTTCCTACTCAGTGGCCAATTCGAAACCCCAGAAGGAGCCACCGAAACGAAGTCTGCCCAAGTTCAGGGGCACAAGTGCCACCTAGGAGGGAAGTATTTATTTCCTATGCTCCACAGCTCCATCTAGTGGCCTTAATGGGAAGTATTTTCCTATGCTCCACAGCTCCATCTAGTGGCCATAATGGGAAGTAATTTCTATGCTCCTCAGCGCCATCTAGTGGCCATAATGGGAAGCAATTTATATGCTCCTCAGCTCCATCTAGTGGCAATAATGGGAAGTATTTAATTCCTATGCTCCACAGCTCCATCTAGTGGTCATAATGGGAAGTATTTATTCCCTATGCTCCTCATCTCCATCTAATGGGCATAATGGGAAGTATTTCATTCCTATGCTCCTCAGCGTCACCCAGTGGCCATAATGGGAAGTAATTTTTATGCTCCTCAGCTCCATCTAGTGGCCAGAATGGGAATTAATTTCTATGTTCCTCAGCTCCATCTAGTGGCCAGAATGGGACGTAATTTCTATGCTCCTTAGCTCCATCTAGTGGCCAGAATGGGAAGTATTTATTTCCTATGCTCCTCAGCCCCATCTAGTGGCCAGAATGGGAAGTATTTATTTCCTATGCTCCTCAGCTCCATCTAGTGGCCTTAATGGGAAGTATTTAATTCCTATGCTCGGCTCCATCTAGTGGCCATAATGGGAAGCAATTTCTATGCTCCTCAGCTCCATCTAGTGGCCATAATGGGAAGTAATTCCTACGCTCCTCAGCTCCATCTAGTGGCCAGAATGGGAAGTATTTATTTCCTACGCTCCTCAGCTCCATCTAGTGGCCATAATGGGGGATTATCCTGATATTACACTAGACCTGGAAAGAAAATATGCTAATAACATGACATGTAGTTCCACAACAGCTGGAGTTGGCCACCCCTGTGTTAGATGGTATATTTCAAAGACTAATGAATGCATTTAAAATGAATATCTTAACAAATGGTAACAAAATGTAGAAATTCTGCTGCTGACAGCCCCCCACCCGAGGCCACCAGCACTGTATCTATTATATGTATATATCTAGTTGTCACCTGTGTTTGCGGCCCGCCTCCTGGGGGTACGAAAGGTGACCATAAGCCGTTCAACTGTTATTCCATTCGGTACGTCCCACCCGAGCCTCCATATTCTCACCCGTGTTCCACCAACTGCTCCTAATATTCTCTCTATAACAGGAGTAGGCAACCTCGCCCCCCCCCCCCCCCCCCCACACGCCTCTCTGACACAACACACACAACGTTGCTGCATGCACTATTTCCAGCTCTGGTAAAACTTAAAATCCCATCATGCATCTACCTCTGGGAGTCACGCCTGTGGCTGTCAGTCTTGCAATGCCTCATGGGACTTATAGTTCCACAGCAGCCGGAGTTTCGAGGTCGCCTACCCCCGGTCTATAAGGTACGCTATATTTTTATCAATTCACATAATTTCTATTCTTCTAGCAAAGCCGGCCTGTCTTTATTAATTATGAGAACTCTAAATTGAAGCTTTACACACTGAGTGGCCAGATTATTATGACCCCTCCCCCCATCAGTACTTTGTTGGGCCGCCTGGTGACTCCACGAGATGATGAAAGGTGATGCGAGGAATCTGACACTGCACTGTTGCCCTTCTGTTGTCTTGTACCAGTCTTGCCCCTCCCCCGTTCTGCCCTAACATTGACTAGTCGCTGACGGCTACAATTCGCACGTTCAGACCCAGATTTTCGGCTGACAGTCCGGTCTTTAAACACTTTAACAACAGCTGCTCTTGAACATTTAATGAATTCTGCTGTTTTGCTGATACTCGCTCCATGGCTCCGAGCGCCAACAATCATCCCGCGTTCAAAGGCTGTTACATCGCGTTGTTTCCCCGTATCTTCAGAAACAAATCACTTCTACTGTCGTGGTAACCAACCTGCTTCCCTATTTATAATGGTCTGGCCCTCTAGCAACTTCAGCGCCAAATTATAGCTAATTTGCCTACAAACGTCAGGTGGTCATAATAATCTGGCCACTCAGTGTATGTAATAATCCGGCCACTCAGTGTATATAATAATCTGGCCACTCAGTGTATATAATAATCCGGCCACTCAGTGTATATAGTAATCCGGCCACTCAGTGTGTGTATTTTGTGCAATAACTGTGTCACCTGATATTTTGTCTAATGCAGATTAAAATCAAGAACTATATTTAAAATATATGTATAGGCCAAACTTTTTTATTTTTTTTTGTTATGTATTTAGTGGGGGGAGGACTCCAGGTTATCACCAAACTGACACAGAGCTGGTAACTCCTTCCTCACCCCTATGTGACAGTCCTGGGCCAATCATAAGACACCAGCGCTGTCACATGGGAGAAGGGGAATGAATCAGATGCTCATCTGTACCTCACGCCCCCCC